AGACACTCCAATTCCAATTTATCCTCAACATAACCCTAAAATCCCATTCCAAGCCCAAGAAATTATAATCGGTTAACTAGTTACTCAAAATCTTCAACAGATTAATATCATTAGTCAATAGACCTCGGCGAAGTCAGGCTGGTGACCGGGGTTGTGCTGGGATTCGGGTCGGATTTCAATGTCAGCGGACTCATCTACGATTTCTTGCATCGTGTTCTGAATAAACTCATCGAATGAGTCGAGCTGCTGACGCACCAAACCCTTCTCCTCAAAGTAGGCGCTGATCACCGTCCACGCGTCTTCCTGTGTTATCTCCTCCTCGTCGTCATCGTACGACTGATCGTAATACTCTTCCTCCATGTCCATGCTTGATTTGATTAATTAGTTAATTCAATTCAGCTCAACACTAAAGTCAAACCCTGGATGTATAGATTCACAATCTCGGGGTTTGTCTCCAATATGTTCTGCTAGAGTGGAGGAGAAAGAAACCTACGAGAAGTATCGAGGAACGAGAAGCGATGGGGTGTGGCAATTATATATATATATATCATTATGATATATACTTAATATCATTATGATAACTCAATTTAATTTTATTTAATTATGATCACTCAATTTTCATTTAACCAGAACTTTGCATTGTATATATAATAATTTTTTAAAAAAATAAAATAAAATAAACCTTATTTTAAAAAGTTCATAAAAAATAAAATAAAAACTTATTTTCAAAATTTACTTAAGAAAATAAAATAAAAACGTATTTTTTTAAAAAAAAGTTACTTAGAATAATATAAGTTTTTTTTTTTAAAGTAAATAAAATTAAAAATTTAGTTTAAAAAAATGTTACTTAGAAAAATAAAATAAAATAAATAAAAACTGATATTTGAAAAAATGTTTTTAAGATAATTTTTTTTAATTTATATTATAGATATAATGCAAAGTTACCATTTTTACCTTTTTAAAATTCGTGAAAATTGTAAAATAAAAATTGGTTGGTCATGATGAAACGTTTTATGAAATTGTGCGACTATAATGATATAAAAAAAATTAAATGATCATAATGACATTAAGCCCTTGTTTGAGCCTCATTCTTTTAATTAGAATGAATTTTGAATAGTGTATTGATGTAAATGTAAGGTTAAAAAATAATGAAAAAATTTGAATTTGTATGGAATATTATTTTATTGAAGAATGTGTGATTAAAATGATATCAAAATATTGTTTAAGTATTTATTTTTTTTCAAAGAATAAAAATCAAACAAGGGCTAAGTATAAAATGGAGTGGCTATATTAAAACAAAATCAAATTAGGTGGTTATGGTGTCACTAATGGTGCGTTTGATTACTAATATTTTTCATGAAAAATGTATTTTTTCCATCTAAATTTTTACTTTTGTACTGTTTGATTGACTTTTTTCTATGGAAAAATATTTTTCTACTTTTGGTCACATAGCAATTTTTTTTTACCAAAATCAAAGAAATTATTTTCTTTAGGAAGGGTAAGATTTTATTTTTCAGGTAATCCACTCTCTTTTTCTCTCTCTTAGCTATCGTCTACCTCTTATTAACCCACCAATAAAAAATAGATAAGTACAATGAAATCCTGATCATTAGACATACGAACAAAATCTAGGGTCATAATGCATTAGCCGCCTCACGAGGTGTATATAAGTGGGTTAAATTAATCGATAGCCACCAAACTTCATATTGGGTGCATTTAATTGCTAACGTGAAATTTACATCTTATGAAAATTGTTAATTAAACGTGTTTGATTGATTTAATTTTCAACTTAGTAACGATTAATTTAACCCACTTATATACACCTCGTGAGGCGGCTAATGCATTATGACCCTAGATTTTGTTCGTATGTCTAATGATCAGTATTTCATGGATGTCACTTAGATGTTTTGTCAAATGTCCCTAATTAATTAATTTAATTGAAAATTCTTCATAAATACTCGAAAATGATGAATAAGCCATGATTAAAATCAAATTTTTAATAAATTTTGATAAAAATTGATAAAATATTTGATTAAAAAAATTGTGAAATCTATAAAATATACGATTAAAATTAATTATTGACTTTAATTTAAATTAAAATTCAGATTTTAATCCCTTTCAAACATGAGCTATATTTCCTTTTCTTCTCAAACTTGCTCCTTGCATCTAGAGTCATAATAAGTAAATGGAGGTTGGACTATCAATGATTGTTGATGAAGAGGTATAGAATCATCTCACAAGACACATCTTACTTTAGAGAGTCGTGTTAAGTCGAATAATGAAAATTATTTGTGTTGTCAGTATATTCTTAATATTGCTATCGAAATTGTGAAATATCGATCTTCTGATTGATTTTTCTATATTTTATATCTCCCTCATCTATGTTAACAATGAAATTTTACATTTTAATATATAAATTTGGGGACTATTTAAGTCAATTTTGAAGGCGTTATTCATATTTTTAACGGTGATTTTCATCTAAAGATTTATCCAATGTGACAATTAATTAAAATGATAAGGAGTTAAAAAAAAATAGATTATATTAATCATTAAAGACAATCCAAAAATATAGTTTATATTGACCTCGATATCTACACAGGGTGATGTGAGCAATAGATCCCGCCCTCATTCACATTTACGCGTATGATTCCCACACCCTTGGACAAATCGTTAAAAGCATGTGGCCTTCTCCAATGTGGCGCTACGAACTCCGATAATTAAGTCAGTCAACTTGTATAAATATATGAGTATGTTAGGTGGGAAAGACATGAGCCACAAATAGTGTTTGGACTCTGAGGGTGATGAGAGAAAGTAGAACAAAGTTACTATTAGAAGTCTTGTGTCATAGCATCACAATATAATTATTATTTGCTGGAGATTAAAATCAAATTTTTAATAGATTTTGAAGGTGATATGATTAATTTTTTTGGATTTCATGAATTATATGATAAAAATTAATTGTTCACTTTAATTTAAATTGTAAATTTTTATTCCTTGTTTGACAATCATTATTTGAAAACTTTTTTTTCTACATGCTCATTTTTAATCATACATTCATACAATAAAATATTCACGTAAATTTAAAAACGTTTTCTACTTTTTAATCACGTATTCGCTTAAAAATTACTATTCAAATTTTTTTTTCAAAATAATGACTTGTTTTAATTTTTACTAGAGAGAACATAACATAAGTTGGCACAGAGATCATCGTTCTATCAATTAAGGGCATTTCCAATGGAATTTATTTTGCACCAAAATTTGGCGCAAAAGGCTCTCCAACCGTTTGCATCATATTTGGTGCAACATTGTTCATTGCACTATTTTTTCCACCAAAGGTACAATGTCCGTTTTGCCATTCATTTTTCAAAAATAATGGTCAAAGGTAATTTTGTAATTTTTGTTCGATGATGATGATGATGATGATGATGATGATGATGATAATAATAATAATTACATTATTAATTATATTATTAAAGTTTATTGTTTTTAATTATATAATCAATAATAGTTAAGGATTTTTTAATTTAGTAATTATTTTCGTAAATTTAACGTAATTGTTTATAATAAATTAATAATAATCAATTATTTTCGTCAATTTAACATAATATATAAAACATGTGAATAATTTAACAATCAATAATAATTCAATATATTTGTTAATTTAACATAATTATGATTTAGTAATTTCTATAGTTATAAAATAAATAAATAAATAATTTTTTAAAATAAATGCATTGTCAAAAAAACGAAAAAATAAATAAAATAATAAAATACTATTCATTTGGTATCAGTTTTGATATAATGATTGAAAATAAATTTTAGTTTAATATAAATTTTGGTACAAAATGGTCTAAAATTTGGTCAGAGCTAGAGATGGCCTAACACCAACAAAAATCTCATAAATAACAAATGGCCATGTATTCATGATATTTTGCCCTCAGGGCACATCTCCAAGTGGTAAAAGAGGAGGGTAGAGAAATTCAGCTTTACTTGAAGCTGCTGCGTCAAGGGTTCGAATCCTGAAATATGGATTTGACTATTGGGTAAGTGTAAGTGTACAAGCAGCCTTCCACCCTGTACCTTTGGAGGTATAATCTGCGATTTACCTCTCTCACGATACTTCAGGATAGGCGTGGTAGGGGACCCTTAAGGTTAGGGTTTAACCTTTTTTTCTTTTTTTTTAATAACAAATGGCCATGTTACAAAAGAAAATCTCTTTAGAAACAGTTAGAAATTGACGTACGATAATATCCTGTTGAACACTAACGATGTGCGGACCGTACCAAACAAGCAAATGAAAAAAAAAAGGAAAAAGAAGAAAGAATAAAAAAAAGTTGTACCCACAATTCTTCGATAACAAACAACTCTTCTATTCTTCCACTTATAATAATCGAAATATTTTATATTTTATTAAAAATACATTAAGTAGGTCTTCAATCTAATTATTTTGGTAGATTCAATCCCTAGACTTTCATTTTCGTAATATTTAGGTCTCAACTCTCAAGATGACTATTCTATTTCTATCTTCTTCTTTTTTTTTTTTTTTAAATTGAAAGCTCAATTTTTATGTTAAGATTACAACTTTACCTTTATTCTTAAATTTTATTTTTATTTTTTTAATCGAACATAAAGATTAAGTCCTTGTTTTGTACAAATTTAAATTTAAATCAAAGTCAATAATTAATTTTAATTATATATTTTATAGGTCTCACATTTTTTAATTACGCATTTCATCAACTTCTATCAAAATTTATAAAAATTTTAATTTTAATTCTCATCAAATAGGGACTAAGTTGTCCGGGACTCGGGTGCTAAATGCTTAAAACAATGAAAGATTGGTAATTGCAATCGCCAAAATAATAAGTTGGCAATCTAGTATCTATGTTTGTAAGTTGAGGCTCTCAACTGTAATTTTCCTAATTTTTATATTCCCGTATGTGTCTCTCTCCGACTATTATTGACTTTCGGATGCGGACCCCATCTCCCATCTTCGTCATCCCAACCTTAACCGGTTCCACAGGAAACCTTCTCTGAATCTATATACGTAAAATTATGCACAAGACGAGAGAGAGGCCAATTTTGTGATTAAATATTCTACATGGACTTTGAGCTTTTCTCCATCAATAAAATCATGTTTTATTAGTGAGAAAAGGAGAGTTCGTGTCGAAGATACCATTTTTTGTAGAATCTGTATTTTATTTTCAAGAATAGAAGGAAGTATGTCATGAGATATACCCTTGGCATGTCAGATCCGTTTTTATTTTTTTTGTATGCGTATGCGTAATACGGGTATTGTTACTTTCTTGATTTTAATGCGAACTGATTACACATTTTTTTTTTTTTTAAATTCGAGCATTTGGTTGATTTGTGCAGTTTTATATATTTTTATTAATTTTTCTTGTGCTATATTTGGGTTTTTTAGGCTTTGAAGGAATGTGGTGTTTGACTTTAAAGCTAAAAGGAGCATGTTCTTTTGCCTGAGGTCAATATCAGATTGTGATTCTGTAGAAAATGGTGTTTGGTAGGTGTGCATGAATGAATATGATCGATCTAAGAGGAAAATTTTGATCTACCTGCAAGTTGATCGAGAGTTTGGGACAGTTTTTTTTTTTTTTTGCCATTATTCGTGTTATCTGATTCTAATTGTGGTGGTGGTAGATCTTTTTTTTATGGATTTATTTACCGTTGGTTGGTTGCATATCAATGGCGGTGGAATTTGATTCTTCACTCTTCATATTTTAATGGAATTCAAGAACTTGTTTCACAGGTTACTGTAAATCATATGGAGATTTCGGAAAATCTTGATTTTGAACCGGAGGAAAGGAAATAGATTAGGTAGTAAGTACTAGTGTGTTTGATTGGGGATAAATGGAGGAAGAGGCTAATTCTTGGATAAGGAGAACAAAATTCTCTCATACTGTTTGTCATAGGTTGGATGCTTGGAGATTGGCCTCTTTTCCTTTAACTATTCAGCCAGATAGGATTCCGGTTGCCAAATCGAAACCCAGAACTTCTAACCTGAATAAAAAACCCGAGGCTATGGTGGCACAGATTCAGCAAAGCCCAACCACAAACAAGAACCGGTCTGTATCCCCACACCCTGAAACAAAGCTTTCTGATGCCTTTAAAGAGGCCCGATCTAGTCAGAAGAGATTCTTAACTCCACTTCCCCAAAGAAGAGGAGCAGAGAAGGGAATTGTTGGCAAATTGTTCCGTAAAGATTCCTGCAATATCAAGGCACCTAATTCGAATTCACCTGTTTCAAAGTCGCCAACAAACATTAGTCCTCTTAGGCACTTTGCATCGATAAAATTTCATGAGAAGACTAGGAGTCATAAGGACTCAGCATGGATAAAGTATTTTGATCATAGTGGGGGAAGGGTCACATCTGTAGAAACTGTGGACGAGTTTACGGTTAATCTTTCTAAGTTGTTTCTTGGGCTAAGATTTGCTCATGGAGCACACAGTCAGCTTTACCATGGGATTTACAAGGAACAACCTGTTGCAGTGAAAATAATCAGAGTGCCAGATGATGACGAAAATGGAGACCTGGGTGGTCGTTTAGAAAAGCAATTCACCAGGGAGGCTACCCTTTTGTCTAGTCTCCACCATGAAAATGTTATAAAGGTATTTATTTTTGTTCCACGTCTTTTGCTCATGGCTTACATGTTGGCCTGTCCTTTCTATGAAGTATTTAATTTGAATTGCTTTGACGATTGGTGCTTTGCGTCACTATGTATAAATTCTGTCTATTAAAATTCATGGTTTGATGTGAGTTTCACTCGATATGCAGAAATAATTGAATGTTAATAACTATAAAAATTGAGAATAATTGGCTCACCGGAGTCCTTTCTGATTTCAATTGCAACGATCTTGAAATGCAGTTCGTGGCAGCCTGCAGAAAGCCACCAGTGTTTTGCATTAT